GTGAGAAGTGTCCAGGACTAGGAAAATCGCAAAGGGAAACTGAATTTTTGCCCATGCCTTCTGTCAGTGGCAGATCCATGTCCAGAATGAGCATTTCTCAACATCCCAATTTAGGGTGTCAATGACTGACAAAGAATGATGTAAAAAATACACAGTCCTAAAGCTCTAACCGAGGTATTGGCTGCATCATGTACTTGCTCATTATATTATACTAGAGGCCTGGTGCAAAAAAATTTGTGCACTGGCGGGGGGTGGGGGGTGTCTCTCAGCCCCACTTGTACCCTCTCACAGTCTGGGACTCCTCAGGAGATAATGACCTGCTAGCTTAGGCCCACTCCCAGGTGGCAGAGGGCAGGGGGCAGGCCCAATCTCTAGGTGCAGCCCCTGGTCTGGCTCAGAGCCAATTGGGGAGTTGGGGCGCCACCCCCTGTCATACACAGAAAAGAAGTGTTTCTTAGCAGCTCAGAGACCTGCAGCGACAGGTGGGGAACATTGGAGTCCTCCATCACTGAAGCAAGCAAGCTTCCTGTTTGTGTCATAGCCTGGCTGCAGGCCGCCATCTTGGCTGGCAGTTAATTTGCATATTGCCCTGATTAGCCAATGGGAAGGCTAGCGGACGTATGGCTAATTACCATGTTTCTCTTTTATTAGATAGGATTTCATTGTGTTGTGAAATTTGTAGATGTTCCTTCCACAATTAGCTTTCAAGTAAATTATAAGCATTTAGGAAATATTAGATCATTTTCCTTTAGCTCTCCTCAAATCTATAATAGGCTATAACCATAATAGATATTAATCAATAAATGTGAGAAATTAATAAAACATGTATTCAAGATATTATGTCTAAAGTAGACAACATTTTTTATTTGAAATTTTATGGTTTTGGATTCATTTTAATGTTGAGCTGTAAAACTCTGAGATTTCTGGAAGAAGGCCTTACTAGTATCAATACTAGAGGATTTACTATTGACTTAGCATTTTCTTAACTCCTGGACAAGTCACTAAACTAGTTGTCAGTTTGCTCATCTAAAAATAGCAATACAAATATATTATCATTAAATAAGTACAAAATAAGCTATGTGCCTATATTATTTCAGTCCTCCAAATGGGAATTTTAATCTTTATCTATATACCTCCCAACTATTTAAGATGTCCTTATATGCACATCATACACAACATTACAATTCTTTTCTTAGTTTGTATCATTCTGATACACCAAGATGACTTCCCGTGCATGGTAGTAAGAGTGGGTATGATGAAAATTAATTAAATTTTTTATTCATTTTGAAGGTAGAGTCAAAGGAATTACTGGGGACAGAATGTAAGAATGTGACTTGCAACCTTGCAAGCCAAGGATGATCTTAGTTGTGTGTTTTTTTTTGTTCAGGTAATTGTAAAAATAGAGTTGCCATTAAATGAGTAGAGAAACTGTGGGAAGTATAAGTTTAGCAAGAGTGTGCATGTCAGGAGTTCAGTTTGGGCATGTTAGGTTAGATATTTAATAGGAAATGTCAAATAGGCAGTTGGATGTTTGTCTAAAGTTTAAACGAAAGGTTTCAGGATGGTGATTAAAAGCTTAGAATTGCCAATGTCTAGATGGCATTTAAAGTCATGAGATTGACCTGAGATCTCACGGGAATGAGTACAGATAAAATTTCCGAAATTAAATTCTATATTTTTGGTGTAGAAAAATTCAAACATTGACGAGGTGAGAAACCAATATAAAAGACTAATAGGAAGTAACCAGAAAGTTAGGAGACAACTAAGTAATGTGATATTCTGAAACTCCACTTAAAAGCATGTATCTATTATTGATAATAAGCCAAGTAAAAGAAAGACAATAAAATGACCAATAAATTAGTATTTGAAAGTGTTAGAAGACCATTACTGGAACAATTTTAGAGGGGTGACAGAGGCAAAAACCCTGTTCATGAGAAATTGAGAGGATGGAAATTTAATGAAAAATATAGAAAACTATTTAGAAGAGGTTGGCAATAAATGGAACAAAAGAAATAATGTAGTAGTTTCAGGTCAAAATGATGTCAAGAAAATTTTTTTCAACATTTATAACTGGAAAATTTAAAACATAAAAGATTTGTGGGGAAGAGAAAATAGACCATTAACTAGGCAAAAAGTTTGGATCCAAATAAAAAACAAAGATGTCATCCTTTGCTGGACTCATGGGATCTCAGAGAATTCATCCAGAGCATAGAACTGAGGTAAGTCCCACTGGTAAAACTGGGGAACAGTAATTTTGGAAGTTAAAGTTTTCTAATGATTGCCAAAATCTCTCAGCAAAGTAGAAAGCCAGGTCTTGAGCTAAAATTTAGAAAATGGGAGAAGGCTCTGGTAGCTTCAGAGGTGAGGAGAGAGTACAAAATAATTTTCTAAAAGATAAGTGTGACAGGAACCAGGAAATGTAATATGACTGCCAGAGAGCACTAATTAATTACTTGCAGTAAATTTATTGTGAAAATAGTGTGTTTTTGTTCTCTCATCATGTGGGAGTGCAGACAGGGTGCAAACTGAAAAAGGACTTGTTCATTAGATCTGGAAGTTGGTCACTGATTGTTGTATCTCTGACTCAGCAGAAAAAATAAAAAAATAAAATATTGATACTAGAGGCCCAGTGCATGAAAATTTGTGCCCTCGGGAAGGGGGATCCCTCAGCCTGGCTTGTGCCTTCTCACAGTCCAGGACCCCTCAGGGGATGTTCACCTTCCGGCTTAGGCCCATTCCCTGGGGGATTGGGCCCAAGCTGGCAGTCAGACATCCCTCTGGCAGCCCAGGGCATCCACAGTCAGACATCCTTAGCACTGCCAAAGAGGTGGGAGAGGCTTCCGCCACCGCTGCTGCACTCGCAGCCGTTAGCCTGGCTTGTGGCTGAGCAGAGCTCCCACTGTGGGAGCTCACTGACCACCAAAGGGAAGCTCCTGGATTGAGTTTCTGCCCCTTGGTGGTCAGTGTGCATCATAGTAACCAGTCATTCCCAGATGTTCTGCCCTTAGGGTCAATTTGCATATTACCCTTTTATTATATAGGATTGGGATATAAGTATCCAGAAAGGGTTCTCTAATGAAGTACAGCTGTAAATATTCAGCTATAATAACTATAGAAATTAATCATTTAATCTTTTGCTAGTTTATCACTCCATTCATTCAAACATTAAGTACCTAGTATAGCTGTGGGCAAACTACAGCCCACAGGCTGGATCTGGCCCATTTGAAATGAAAAAAAAACTAAAAGAAAAAAAGACCGTACCCTTTTATGTAATGATGTTTGCTTTGAATTTATATTAGTTCACACAAACACTCCATCCATGCTTTTGTTCCAGCCCTCTGGTCCAGTTTAAGAACCCATCGTGGCCCTCGAGTCAAAAAGTTTGCCCACCCCTGACCTAGTATGTACTTTAGTATACAAAATACTGGTGAGTTGTCTCCTTGCTGTATCCTTACAAGGCCTTTTCTCTGTGCCTGTACATCTCCAGTGTCCCTTTTTCTTTTATAATAACACAAGTCCTGCTGGATTATGGCTCCCCATTTTTTACCTCATTTAAATTTATTTAACTCTTTAAAGGCCCAATCTCCAAATAGAGTCATACTGAGAGTTTGCGCTTGAACAGAAGAAATTTAGAGGACCACACATCAGTGCGTAATAAAAATTGTTAAAATATGGAAAGAAAAAAAGTTCCATGAAATGAGGATATAATTTTCTAAAGAAATAAAGTTTAAGCTATGCACTAAAGATGGAGCTAGAATACAAAATCTCCCATTCCTGATGCAAAATTAGGGGA